CAATAGATCAATGGCAATCGATGACAAGAAAATCTGTTATGAATCATGTGATATCTCGCTGTCTCACTGCAATAATAGACGCTGTGGCTGCTAGCCACCCACGTCTCAGTATCGCAGACAATCACGTTTAAATAGTGACACCGAGCAGCTTATTACAATATATTGAGCTCTGGTACTAGACACAAATAATACAAAGGGATGTCCATCTCTATAGATGTCAAGATTCTCGTCCCATCATATGGCCTTCATTATTGACGGATCTGTATCCCCTGCCAGAGTCCGAGTGCTTCGATTTTGTGGTCCAAGTAGTTGGGAAATATCAATGAGTATCCCTTCAGATGACGCTCTTACAGCTCCCAGGACTGCACTGCTACAGTTTCAGCTTCTTTCTTGTCTCCCCAGGTGTGTTTCTCAAGTTACCTTACTTAGTACTTAGGAAAGTATTCAAGAATCACATGATGCTTTCAGTCATCATTTTGCATATTTCCCACAATAACGTCAGGGCCACAACTCTCATTTGGAACGTGCAATAAAGTGTTTTGTGTCTCTAATATCTCAACCTCCGCCGGGTCACGAATCGCCTCAGGATTCCAATCCGGCAAAAGAATCAGGGTAGTCGACAAAGTGTGTTGGGACCTCTACTTCCTGTGGGACTTTCATGATTTGATCCTTACTTTTGAATTTTTTTTCTATTCCGGGGGCCTCGTCCTCACAAGTCAGAAGTAGTTTGAAATATCGAGGTCCTGTGAGCAGCTCTGCAGAATTGGCTATTGCCACCAGTGCGTTGATAGCCTTGTTCGCGTCATCTTCAGTGGGATCGTAATCCTCGTAAGAGCATATTTCGTCGATGACGCAAATTATCTGACTTCCTTCAGGAGCCTGTGAAACCAGCCTGGTAAATATCTCGCTTAGAACCTGAAGTTCCCATTTACCGATATCATCCCAATTGAACTCGCTATTGATGAATGACAGGTGGCACTCGATCTTCTCAATCATCATCCGGTCCAGAAGTTGACATATAAGGCTTGCCATCATTAACCTGGATGAAATATTGACTGGCTTATGAGGGTCTTTTCGGTCCCACATTTGGGTATCATCAGCGCAGAACCAGCCAATGACGAAAGTCGAAATAACATCCTTCTCGTTCACTTTGCACGCCGAATTTATTCTTACGGCGGCGGCCATTTTGCTAGTCGTTGAGATCGTCTCTCCGCAGTGCTCCCCGGCGATAATCAGCAAGCAACGGGTTGTCGGTTGGTATCTCTCGACGAAGTCCCTGAAGAGATTGTTCGCTCTGATGTAGTCCCAAGTTTTCCATTGGTCGCCACTAAGCTCGGTCCAGAAATAAATCTCCATTTTTTCCTTCTGCAGGCGCAAGGCCGTATGGTGGGTGAGATACCGGAATAATCTTTCTACTGTCGTTTCACCCTCTGGATCTATAATCTCGGCAGTTACTTCTGTTCTGAAGTACGACTCATTCTGTTCCAAAGCTGTCTGTTCCGGAGTCAAAGCGTCGTTCACGCCTGCCAAATCGGAAGGCCATACTTGCGGCGGTGCGGAGGACTCTGAGAAGAATTCGCGTGCCGCATCATCTAGGGAGGCAGCTGAACAGAGGGACTTTCTATCTCTCATGTAATACTGCGCGTGGTTTTGTTGCTCGTGGTACCCATAGGCTTCTCGTTCCATATTGTAAGTCATAGGTCCCAAATCAAGCCGTGCGAGGTGTTTTGTTGGTCGTGCTTCGTACTTCTCAGACAGCGAGAGTGAAGGAGGAATAATTGAAAGAGGGATCGCTGTCTCAGCACCCCAGAGCCTTCTACTCTTCTCATTTATAAGTCAAACCCCCCACTTCCTGGCACCCCCCTGTTTCTGGCACCCACAAAAACGATGGGATCACAACCCAACCTCCTCATTACTATTAACTATTGATCCTCAACCACACCCACTACAATACAACTGCCAGCCTCACTAGGGCATTCAGAGTCGCTGGATTCAGCCGTAATAACCTCCTTTTCACCCGCTTCGATTTGAGCCCGATGGATATCCCTGATGTTCGCAAACTTCGTGTTGGGATCGATCTGAACAGTCTTCCTCTTCCTAACTGCAGCGTTGGTAACTTGAGCCTCAGGTGAGCCAGCTGCTGCTGGGCAGCTGCCAGTTGCCAGGCCTGCTCTGTAGCCTTTTCACCTTCCTGAACAGCAGCCGTTGAGTGCTGGTATCATTGTCGAGTTGTGTATAAGTGCAGTTGACCGCTGAGCTCTGCCAGCTTCCTGGGTGTCGACCAGACCACTGCAGAGGAAGCAGAATCCCATGGCTCAACAGGGTAGTTTGTTGACCATTATGGCATCGCTTTTGCCCCGACTGGTTGGTTTGGGTGTGGTGGGCTTAGCAGAAGGCTCAGGTAATACCATAGGGTTCATCAGGGCTTAACCATCGCTACAGGGTGTAGACCAGTCCACTTCCAACCACTTCTGATGTTCGAGACTGATAGACCAGCAAGTCGAGCCTTCTGGTAACAGTCCAGGAAGTTCCTTTTACCTATAATGGTAGAGTCGTTCCATTGAGACAAGTAACCGAGCTCCTTCCGATAGGCTGACTTAACAGGGCTGAAGACAGACTGGTCAAGTGGCTGGAGGACATGAGAGGAGTGTGGTGGTAAGAACAGTAAATGGATATTGTTAATATAGCAATTCCACATGAAGTCTGTCGTCGTATGACTCCCATGCCCATCCACAATCAACAGTCGAGCCTCGCCTCAGCCTCGGGCATAGTCTGTGGGATAAACACCTTCTCTAACCATTCAATGGCAGTTAAGTCTGTAGTCCAGCCATTATCTGTTGCTGTAAACTCCCACCCATCGTATGGAACCAGATGTAATGGAAACCACTGTTGTTGGACCGTCTTCCTTGAAAATGATAAGAGGACGAAGTGCCCTACCCAAGGCTGAGATACACTCAATGATAGAGACCCATGCCCTCGACCCAGGTTGTTTCTTGCGAACAGACGTCGTCTCAGCCATGCCCAGCACTAACCCATTAGCTCCTGACCCTCGAGGATGCCAGTCTCATCCATATTATATCTGTTGGCTGGTTTGATGTCCTTGATCTCAGGGATAGCAAGGAACTTAAACCAGTTCCTAATGACCTCAGTAGATGCCCCATTAACGCGTCTAGAATCGATGGAACGACTTCTCTGAACCTTAATGATAGGGTTCCTTCTCACGAAGGCATAGATCCAGCCTTTTCCTAATGGTTTGGTATCCCCAGCAGCAGCCAGAACTCGCTCTGCGAATTCCTTCACCTGTTGGTGCGTTGGTGCGAGGCCCAGCGAAGCCTGAATGCGAACCCATTGTGCCAGCTCCTGGTCAGGAGACAGCCTCTGCCAGTCAGCAAAGCCACTTTCCTAGTCTGACCACCTTGGAGACGTAGTTGGAGGGTTGATCGTGGTATCCCATACTCCAATGAGGCTCTCTTTTGACTCTTGCCGTTTGAGATGTCCTCGAGAGCCTGACGAAGCTGATCTTCGGTATATTGAGGCATTAGATATAGAAGAAGGTATGTGCAAAAAATGAGCCCATTTGGACTCGAATTGAAAATGTTGTGATAAAAGGAGGTTGGGGGTGGGCATTGCGTTGTGGTGGATTTTCGCGTTTTTGTGGGTGCCAGAAACAGGGGGGTGCCGGGAAGTGGGGGGTTTGACTTACTAGAGTCTCGATGTAGAAAACCTCAACGCTGTCGACTAAAGAAAGCTGAACACAGTGCGAAGGTAAGCGAACACAGTGACAAGGACAAAGAAAACCGAACACAGGGTCATCATGAAAGGGTTGACAAGACAAAGCTGACAAACTAGTTACCTGCATCAAAGAACCGTGTTCGATCTCATTTCACTGACGTTGGGGCAGTTCAGGAGTCCATGCTCGGCCTTTCCCGACTCTCGCCTACGAATTCTGAATAGTTGCACGACAAAGGGATTTACCAACCCCGCTGGCCAAGCGTGAATTCGGAAATGAAGATGAGTCAAATGATCAAAGAGTTGCTGTTCAACTTCTTCCGAGGATCAGAAACCTAAACCTTGGCTGAGCCAAAGCATGAAAGACTAGCAACACTGACACCTAGTTCCCCCAATGACTGGCATCTACACGCCGTGGCTGCCAACCAAGCCTCCTTGGTACCACAGCCAACCATACTGGAGCATGATGGTCTTTGTCCCTGGCTGCTCAGATGAGCGTATGTCCAAAATATCTTTATTCAATGCCGAAATCTGATTTATTCGGTTACCTTCAAGAGTGAGCGGGTGAACATATGAAGCCGGTCAATCTATGAGTACACCTTTCGGGCCCGTCCGTATAGCTATTACTTACTGCTTTGCTCCTATGTCAGCCCCTGCTCTGTTTTCTAAAGCGTGAGTTCCTATTATAGAATCAGGATTCAAGTAAGTCGCAAGGGGAGGAAACATAGTGTCAGCGATAGGAGTCATGAGAATAGCGGCAATAAGTGATCAAGCGGCAAATCACTTCGTCGCCCGCTTGAGGGGGTCTATCAAGAACATGATGGTTTTTAACAGTCTCGTTTCTTATGTAACTTGGGCTAGGTCCGACTTCGGACAAACTCACGGGACCATCTTACCTACTTCAAAATGATCATCTGATGTCTCATCCGGCGTCTGTATCGCAAACTATGCTATTGCAGATGCGGAACTATACCCAACGACACTAGACTTTAGTCCATGTTGTAGAACTGGAAGAAGTTGACCAACTAGGATACAATAACGACCTAGTACGATGGAGGAAGATAAGTAATTATCTAGAAAGCCGTTTCATGTATTCTGTTTGCTTCGTGCCCTACTCCCACAAGTGACTCGGCCACGAGTAAAGATATAATAAGAATTCATTTTCAAACTTGGCTAACTACATATTATTAATATGAATATGGGATACACACCCGGAAGGCACTCCACTCGCACCAACCGATCAATCGCTCCCAACCACGGGCGTTGGTACTCTACCCATCAAAGATGTTGTCCTTGAAGTATCTGCCATTGTCGAAGTACTCATTGATCTGCGTAGCTCTGCTCTGGCACGTTAAAACGAGTTTGGATGCCACCGGCCCCCCCGACTGTATTCTTGCCAGCGCTAATAGCCGCGTGATAACGTAATCCAATTCCTCTGAAAGCTGATCTGTTTCGTATCGGGTAATCTCGTCGATCACACACATCACATCAGCTCCTGGGTCAAGATATATCATCAGGGCACTGAACAGCTCGTACAAGGCTTCGATCTCGCGGTTGGCGAGACGCTCAGTAAAGCCGCCCTCTCGCAACAGTGACCCTTTCAGCTCATACTTGGGGAACCTCTCAGAAATCTCCCGCAAAAGCTGGTTGATAAGGCTACACATCATTCCTCTTGGAGATTCTTGAAGTTTTATTTCGTCCTCGTTCGTTCGATTTGGGAAAGGAATGGAGCAGAACCATTTGATTGTGATGAGATTGCTCTGGTACGCAATATCGTTCTTATTCTTCCATTCCGCAGCCAGGTGAGACATTGGCGAGCTTTTGCCCGTCGGGAGCTCGAGCGTTCGTGGTTCGAAACATTCGGGATTGGCTTTGGGGTCTTCATTAAGATTCACGAGAACCATGCCGCCCGTCGTTTTTGGCTGGAAGAGTGGTTTCTTGAAAGCCTCTTCTTGCAACTTCATTGCTTTTCGCTTTCGTTCTTCACTGATGCCTTGCCAAAGATCGCTATTGAAGGCGTTTTGATTCCATGATGAGAGTCCGTCCTTCAGAATTTCGCGGTACTTTGCCATTTCCTCTTTCGACTCTTCAGGTCCGAAAGGTAGTTCCATGCCGGAACGGCCGGTCGTGTGGATAGCGTTTGTCATGTTGGGAGGTGGAATAGATCAAATGGTTTGTAAGAAGTGAACTCACAATTGTCAACGATGATGGTAATGGCTGCGGTAAGTAATGAGTATGTTTTTGGTATCTAATACGCGAGGGAAAAGTGCATATCTATATCAATCGCAAGTCCGACTGTCCGAATGGTCTCCCGGTCTGGACTAGAGTCAGGACAAAAACACTCGAACAGTGGAGGTCGTGTGGGAAGGGAGGTGTGGAGAACCTGGATGATGAATACACAATGGCAAGAGAAAATGGGTAAATACATGCAGGTAAAGTAAAGTGAGATATTACGGTAGAGGAAGGTGAGTTTGTAGGGAATGATCGGTCGCGAAAGACCAGGTAGAAAGAGAATAGCGACAACCTCAGATAAAGGGGATGGGTCTGATGAATACACCCATGTTCGATTGCATCGCAAGGGATCACAAAGCTCCTGAACCATCACCAGAACTTTGAACAGACGTGAAAATATGGGCCCACAGTGTTAATTCATTAGTCATCGTGTACAAGCTCGAATGGTTGAGGATGTGGTGGCTGTCCGTGTTGTAATTCAAATACTCAATGAGAATCTACCTTTTATCCATGTACTAGAATGCCCGATGTCATCAAGAGTGGCCCAAGGTGTCGATCATGGGATTCTAGCTTTGATGGATTTCGTCAAGCTATGGCATCATTGTCGAAAAGGACTTAACATCTCCATGTTCAGCAGTGTCACCTAGACTGGCTGGATCACTAGTGTGTTATGGAATTAGTAACTCAGATGCACTGATGCAGCTAGATAAAGAGCACATGTCCGCATGGTTGTGGCTGACTTTTGAGATCAAGCTTCTTTTTAAATTGGTAAGTATCAGAGTGCCGCCACGTTAATTTCCATCAAGTATAGTCGCGGCAATCCATCTGACCATCCATCCCAGAGTCCTAGTATGCCATGGACATGTTAGATATCGTCCACTGCGCTGATTCATCTGAGCCCGTGCTACCACCCAAGTCGACGATGTTGTGGCCAAAATGCTCCGCCATACCCAAAGCTCTATTTTGACAAGTTGTGAGAAGTTTGAAAATCTGCGGTCCAGTGGAAAGCTTCTCAGCTAACCTTGCCAGCTTCCCCATGACTACTTCCGTGTCGCTCTCCAGAGCTCGCGTCTCGTACAAGACAATCTCATCCACTATACATAACAAGATACTCCCCCGAGGAAGCTGCTCTACTAGTCCGACAAAGACCGAAAACAGAGTCGTCGGTTTGAGCTGCTCTACATGCCGCCACTTGGACTCGTACATGAATGACAAGCCAACCTCTACGCCACTATCAATCATTTTTTCGAGAAGCTGACCGACAAGGCTTGTCATCATTCTGCTGGGGCAGCGATCTGTTTCAGCGTTGTTGCCTGCCACGAGGGCTGGCTTATGCTCCGCGCAAAACCAGTTGATGACGTAGAACGGTGTCGAGGGATCCCCTGCAGCCATGAAGCTTTCCGTCGCCTGGGCAGCTACAAAACTGAGCGGTGAGATCCCGTCAACGGCAGCAGTGTCGTCTCTTCCATTGACGAGAAGACAGCTTGATGACGTTGTATTCGTCATGAATGACTTGAAGCTTTCATGCCGTATGAGGGTGGCAGCTTTGGCTTTTTGTTTGTTGGTCAGTCTATTGCCAAGACGAATCTGAGTGGCCACGTCCCGTGGAACAAGACTTGGATCGTAATGAAGATACTCGAATAATCGCTTTTGTGCCTTCCTAGCCTCCGCTTGTCGTTCGTCGGCATTTGCCCGCGTTTTCATGGATATCGATGTCCCGGGAATACTGTGGGTTGCGTTCACCATGTCGTAAGCCGAAATTCGTGGTTGTGAGGAACTAAATTGCTGATCAGATTGTTCTGCATAAAATCGCTTTAGTTTAACGCGCGAAATATTTGTCCAAGAAGGGAAAGATGGAGACAACAGTGAAGAGGCAAGGGTAGAAGAAGAATATAATCAAGTGAGTGAATATAAGAGGCTAAGGAAGAAAGGGCCGAACGATACGGGTGTTCAACATACAGAGAAATATCGGGGAGCTTGCATACCTAAACCTAGATTCGTCTCCAGAAGTTTGAAAAATCGTTGAAAAAAGGGGGCCAAAGTCTTGGATTGTTCATTCATGTCAGATAGAAGGCGCATGCTCTCATGTGTTTCTTGAGCGTGACATTGCTGGGCTTCGTCTCTGAACGCTCTGACCTTAGTTCTAACGTTCTCGATACTTTTCTGGAGATCTTCTTGGTATGCTCCCTGCTTGAGCCAAGCATAGGTCACGTTTTCTAGATGATTAGTTAGTTGGTAAGTCATAGCCTGCTTGGTAAAGAGCACTGTCAATTAGTTTCTGGGAATCGGAGGGCAACCTACTGAGCCTGCTGTTGAGAAAGAACTGCATCACATGAGTGAGTGCTTCTAGAACGGCTCGGAATAACTCAAAGCTTCTTTTGTCAAGACGGTGGCCTCCCATGTTTCGATACATTTCCATGTAGTGCCTTGAGCTTTCCATCATATCTGGAATTTGTGCCAAGAATTCGAAAATGATCTCCGGGGTGTTGGAGTAGGTCGAGGCAGCCTGGTCTATCATTAACATAGGGCTTTCCTTGAGTATGTCACTGAAAACATAAGGTAAGGCTTACCCCGATGAAAAGCTTGAATACTCCACAGATACTGATCAAAAGACGCGTGAGCGCAAGTTTGCTTGAAGTCGTTGGGAGTGGCTAATGTTGACGTTACCTTGCTCCGTAATCTCCCATGGGCAATAAACTTAACCAAGCTTCCAGAGACTCTGAATGCCGCCCAATTCTATCAATGAACACCATTCTTTTACTTTCCTGGTTTGGGCTACTTTTCCAATGCTCTGCAGTCCTCTCAACCTCAGTCAAAACTTGAGACCAACTGCTACGTCGCAACTCCGATGCCGCGTCGAGTGGGATGTGGGCTGCGCTTTTCTTCTTCGCAAGTTTCTGTTCCACTTGTGTCATTAGGACAAAAAGGTGTTCCTTTTCCTCATTCGCCTGCTCCCACATCGCTGTGCTAGAGTTGATGAATAACTTGTTAGTTGGACCAGCCTTACATGTAATGAAGATACGCATGTATTGAAACAGAGAGTGGCAAGCGTCTACTTCGCATCTTTCAGCTTCCATGCTTCATTTGCAGAAACGAAACTTCCACTTTGCTCGCTATACACTGGTAGTAGCTGTCCCGGTGGACAGATTTGATTCTCGATGAATGATACTGCCTCTTTTTGAGGGTAGCGATCCCTGGAAAGGAGGAACGAATCTCTTTGGCCATTCTCCATGGTTTGAATTCAATAAACATGAGAGTCTTGGGAATGGACTGTGAGTAATGATCAGAACGAAAGGACTGGGCCTGCGTACATCACATCATCTCCAAGAGAAGGCTAGAGATGATTATGAGTGCAGGACATGTGGCAATTGGATTCCGACACCCTAGCTGCAAGGAGCAACTGTTGCCTCAATAGCCGCTGAATATTACATGACTGCATGGTGATATCAATCTTTATTGGCTGCGCGTAGTCTGACCAACGCATTTCCAGCAGGCTGTAAGCAGGCTGTAGGCAGGCTGTGACCCTCCAACTATCTAGTGTGATACGTTACATGCAGAGGACGAAAGTGCTTCTGAAAATCAGCCAATGTGGGTGTCTCATTCTTCTGTACCTACCGGTGGCATTTGCAGCGTCACTAAATGTCGGTATTGACTGGATGCAGGCAGTTCGGAAAGAGATGACACCGAAGCCCCTTGCTAACCGAGAGCCTAGGATCGTCACTCTCCAAAGTGCGGCGGTGTCTTCCTACACACTTGAATCCGGTGTCAGTCTGTAGCCCCGTCGTACTTAAAAGAACGCTGTCATACGGGGAATTTCTGCCTTTTAGTCCCTTCCTTTCACGGCTTTCTCATCACTGTTGGTTTCTGCTCAACCTACCTTACCTGGATATGCCGCCAGAACTATCGCAAGCAGCACGAGAAGATTCTCTCATTGTCACAAACAGGGATTTCCAGCAAAAAGATCGCGAGGAAATCTCCGAGGCGAATGAAATGTCGGAGTCTGTCTGCGGCTCCGAGAGTGAGAATGTCGACCCGACGAGCCAAAAAGCCGATACTCCGAGTTCTGAACAAGATGGTCACTCGCCAGCCGATCAAGAGGAGGTACCCCTAGAAGACACAGTGGAAGAGGATGAAGGCGAGGTAATAAGTGCGGCCCATCGAGCGGCGTACCCGAATGCGACACAGGTGCGTCATGTATTCGAAGAGGAGAAAGAATCCGGCCGGATGAAAATGCGATACCATCAAGCATCTCTACACCACACATTTACCAACTTGCGGATTGAAGATCTTGAGCGCGGTCTCAAGGAGCTTAAAGCTGCTTTTGAGAATCGCGATGACACTTGGGAAGCCCCGAAAAGGACCAAGTTTCCCATTCATCGACATGAACTGCGGAGGTCATACGCGAATCAGTTTCGCATCACGCGGCTGACGGCTATGCTACATTGCTCTCAGCAACCAGCCCTAGAAGTACAAGTCACCGAAAGGATTTCACCTATTCTTTTGACCTTGGACAACGAATCGCAGAATCTGTCTCACCAAATGCCTGGGAATGCTGAAGGCATCCCGTTGCAAAGCGGCTCTCTGAAGACCCCAGAGCGTCTGCGAATCAGGTCGTGGTCTCTTTTGTCACATCTCGAGAAGATAACTGGACGAGCTATAATGGGCCTTGCACAGTCGACTAAGATGGACGGTGTAAAGGTGCACAGCGGCGTCGCGTTTCTCCGGCCTTTCAAATTCTTCGCTGAGCACCACGATGCAATCAGGAAGAGTCATGCTGAACTGGAAGCTTGGATGCACACTGGCACACCCTCCAAGCACCGAAAAGAATCTCAGAAGCAAGCCGTTGAGCCTATTCACGAAACTTCGACTCAGCATGACTTTGATGATAAGAACCTTGTGGAAGATTTGAAGCTTCTTATCCACTTTCTTGATAACGACCTGAAGTCCACCTTGGACCTGCGCCAAAAGGTCAAGGATGGAACAGCGCTTGAAATCGAGTATGACGATCTTTGGCATCTCTTTGCACGGGGAGATATTGTTATTACGCCTTCTGACCCCAATCAAGCTTATCGAGTCATCAACATGGCGGGCGGTCGCGAGCCACTGCAATACGAAGCTAGGTACCCGCGAAGTGACGTCGAGAAGCCTGTTCCTGTGGACGGTTTTGTTCTGGACTGCCTAAGCTTTGGATCCGATGGCACCGCATACATTCCAAAACTACAGAGACTGCCAATCCATCGATTTCATGGAAAACGATTGATTACATCGTTACCCGTTTATCCTTTGCGGTTCGACCCGAAGCAAAATGCATTACGAGCCGAATTCGAAGCTATGGGCACGAGGTTCCTGGACCTGACTCGAGAAACAAGTTGCCACAAGCTGGCTCGTGGCAAGACACTCGATGAGCCATCTCATGACTTAGACAACCAAGTCATAGTCGACATGCGCCTCGCGATGACGGCTAAGACTGAGTGGAGAATGAAGACCAGCATATCGTCGGAAGAGCTCACACGAAGGGACAAAAGGGAGACTATTGAAGGATCCTGGTGTTATCATCGTGAACCAGGTTGTTGCGGTGGCGATGTCATTTTTAACGACCTCGTATACGATGAAGAGCATGCTGCCGCCTTCGGTCAGAAACTGACCAGGATGCTAGGTCCGCTGCAGGAAGAAGATCTGACAGAAGAAGATTTGATGTTAATGCAGCCTTACGTCTACGCCTTCGTTCTTCGATCTAGACAGTGGGCAACCATCTGGACAACAGACCTGAAAGAAGTTGTGTTTGAGAATAACTTCAACGACCTCGTCATTTCTGAAGACCACAAGGAGACTGTTAGGGCACTGGTAAAAACGCATGAGAACAAGCGGGCCGCAGAATCATCTCCTGGCGTCGCACGTAGCGTTGGAACAGCGCTGGATCTTGTCAAGGGCAAAGGGGCTGGCCTTGTCATTCTTCTCCACGGTCCGCCTGGCGTGGGGAAGACGTCGACGGCTGAGTGCGTTGCCGATGACACCCATCGACCTCTCTTCCCCATTACATGCGGCGATATTGGAGAGACGGCGGCCGAAGTCGAGACCAACTTGCAATATAGCTTCAAGCTTGCACATAAATGGGGTTGCGTACTATTGCTGGACGAGGCTGACATCTTCCTCGCGAAGAGAGTTCGAGACAACATCCGTCACAATGCCGTGACGAGCGTATTCCTTCGCACACTTGAGTACTACGCGGGAATTCTGTTTCTTACCTCCAACCGTGTGGGAGCCATCGATCCAGCATTCAAGTCAAGGATTCAGATGTCTCTCTCCTACAACGATCTGGATCTCCCAGTGACTCTCAAGATTTACGAGAAGTTCATCAAAAGAGCCAAAGAAGAGCAGCACAGTACAGGGACCCAGAACTTCAAGATAAAAGAGAAGGAAATCATGAGCTTTGCCGAAAAGCACTACAATCGACTTGAGCTTGAAGGACGATACACGTGGAATGGAAGGTATGGTTATGTCCCGCTCGCCCAGCTTTCGAGTGATGTCTCTCAATGTCTAGAATCGCTTAGTTTACTGACAACCAAATGATGTAGACAAATCCGAAACGCTTTTCAAACAGCCATCGCTCTAGTTGAGTACCAATACATATCGAAAGAGGCAGACGAGCCCAAACCCAGTCTTGGCAAGAAGCAATTCAAGAAGGTTGCAAGGGGGTTCAAAGAGTTCGACGACTATCTCATCAATGTGAACGGAGCAACTGAGGCAGACGAGGCTAGACGCGAGGGCTGGCGATATGATGTTCGAAAGACCGTATCCTCGCCGACGCCGCACAGATCCACCCAGGCTAGTCGCTTCCAGCAGGGTTCGAAACATCCTGCGCGAAACCTCGAGTCTGAAGATAGCTCCGAGACAGAGAAAGAAAGTGACAATGATTCTGAGGACGAAGTCAAAGATGGAAGAGGATCGGAGAAAAAGGCTAACCCCAGCACCGTTGGAAGTCAATCTTTCGCTACCGCTGGAGCGTCCCTTGACATGGAACAGTACCAACAATTTCTCAAGTTCCAGCAGATGATGTCCGGTGGTAGTAAATAAGAGTTAGAAATTGCAGTGAGCATACGAATGACTAGGAAAGTGGAAGTAGTAACAACAAGGACTAGACTTTGAGTTTCATCTCCTCCCGCCATGCGGTAACCATGAGATTGATCCTACCGTGAATCAGGAAACACACGAGAAATGACTGTTTTCTTCATTTAATTGCCGAGCAAGATCCGGTTGACATCACTGATTTTGCGCACTAGACATTGCGGCCACGTGAACTGCCATGCGTGCCATGAGGCAAACGAACGCAGGCAGCATCTGGAACACAGCCTTACAGCTCCACTATGCTGCAACCACATGACTTTCACAGATTTCAAAGCTTTGAACCAACCAGGCTCTCAGTTGCGCAGTTGGTTTTGGCCAAGAGCTTGTTGGAACCCTTGCCTCTGCAAGTCATTCGTTTCCCCTGAAAACAGCATCTCGCAAAAAGGTCCAGCAGACGCCTTATGGGGGTCGCCTTGCCAGCGTAAGCACAACATTGGCCAGTAAGCGGGAATGCGGCATAACCGAAGTGATGCCTGGCTACCTATCAGAAAGTGGACATGGTTGGTATATTTCAGCCGCGGCCAAAAACATCAGATATGCTCGGATCAGGCTAGCGTGTCTTATGCCAGCTCCACGCCACGGCTCTTTCGACAACGCTCGTAAACGCAGCTGCGCGGCCCGGCCCCCAGATCATGCAGCGTAAGCCGGTGTGATAGTCAGCCACTCTGAAGACTGAGGGCCGACCTGGTTGCAGCAATGAGTCGTCGGAATGCAGAAGGCTATCAAGGCTGGCTGAGTAGCCAGTCTGGCTTGGTGATGGGACTGGGCGTCAGACTGCTGACCATCTTGTCTCTGATTACGCCAATCAACGTTCGTCGTTCACGTAGAAAGCCTACGATCAACTGTTGCACAGATTTGTCCGGTTGAAGACAACTCTGCGGCTAAGCACTCTGTAGCCTGCCTTGGGGTTTTGCGTGTAGATGGGGGCCTTGCATGTGATGCTGATTGATCCCTATTTATTGCTGTTGGCTGCCCTGTTTCTGCTGGATCCTTCGCAACTCTGCTTTTTCTAAGAGACACTTCTTGATTTCATATTTATCTTTCTTATACAGAATCTCAATCATGGTTCGCATTGAAGATTTTGAGGGTATGCAGTACTCTAGGGTGGGAGACGAGTCTGAGATGCAGGAATACGCCTTTTTCAACCAGCAGTATGCAACCTCAACATATCAGAAAGAGCACGACATGAACCCCGATCTCATTGTGCGACCTCAAAACGACCAAGATGTTATCAGAGCGGTCAATTGGGCCAGAGAGAACAAGGTCGCCGTTGCCGTCAAGAGCGGAGGCCACCAGTACAGCGGAGCCTCGTCTACAAGCGGCAAGAACATCCAGATAGACTTGGGTAACACTTACAAGGATCTGATGATCTTGAAGCCCAAGGATCCAATTGCAGATAACCGCACACTTGTTTACATTGGCGTCAGCATTACTATGATGGACCTCAACAAGTACCTCAAGCAGACGAAGCTCTTTGTTCCCACCGGCCAATGTGCCTACGTCGGTGTGGGAGGTCACGGCCAGACTGGCGGTTACGGACAGTTGGGCCGAAGTTTCGGCCTTTTTGGAGACAACATCAGAACCATCCGTATGGTATGCCACGACGGTGTCATCCGCGACATCACCAAAGAGAACAACCCTGAGATGTTCTACGCCATTCTTGGTGGTAGTCCAGGAAACTTCGGCGTCATCACTCACTACATCGTTGAGGTGTACAAATCTAGCAGCTACCTTGGTACTGTTGCTGGACCCAACGGCTTCAAGGGACCTCACGGCATCAAGGCACTCTGGCTCTACTCCAAGGAGGTTCTTACCACACTTCTCAATGCCATTGCCGAGATGGCTGACGACCCTACATTCCCCCGCGGCTTTGACCTCTGTGTCAGTGTCATCAGCACAGATTTCCCCATGTCGACTCTGTTCAAGGAGCTCAAAGATGCCAACGTCTGGCAGCGCATTCAGGACCGCATCAAGAATGCGCTCGAAGACGACTTCCTGGAGTTGCTGAATGGACGTTTTCCAGCCTCGATCATTCTGTACGCGCAGTGGTGCCCGACCAGCAAGGAGGACGTGTACGATGCCAAGGTCGATGCCTGGTTTGGCAAGTTCCGAGAGCTCAAGAGCCTGTTGGAAGACTACTCGCTTCAGTTTGGCGAGTTCGACATGGAGATGTCGGATATGACTGGGCAGTGGATCTTCCCCAGAGCGCGCGAGTTTGACCTTCCATACGTCAAGCGCACATACGCGACCGACTCCACCAGCCTTACAAAGGACAAGTGGGTTGATGCCGTGGTTGACCGCATTGACCTCATCTACAACCCTGAACAGTATCTCAAGGGACACGAGGGTGAGAAGGACTACGAGCGCTTCATGCGATGTAAGCTGTCGGTTCAAATCCAGTGCTTTGGAGGCAAGTACTCGCGCTTCTTCGTCAACAGAGACAACGGCACATCCTACAGCTGGAGAGACTCGTCTGTTGTCCAGACTTTGGACTGCTTCCACGAGCCCGATGAAGATTCAAGAAAGCTGGCTCAATCATGGCAAGCCAAGAACGATCAGATTATGATCGGACCTGACAGCCCGTTCAGCAAGAAGGACAGACGTCTTCTTTGGGGATCCTATGGCGATTGGAACTTGGGTGATGAGAAGATCTGGAAGTGCTACTACGAAGATGAGGAGAAGTACAGGCGGCTTGGAAAAGCCAGAGCACTCGCTGATCCCAACGGAACGTTTACTGCAAATCCGTTCGCAATTACTGCAGTTAACAATGCAAAGTTGTGAACGGATTTCTGTACTGCACTAAAAATTGGACTGGGCGGAAAACTTGTATGTTAAGTATTAGGTCAAATTTGTACTTCAAATTGTTTGTAGTCTAAAATTGCATAACTCTCATCACATTGCCATTCTCAGCGCCAACATTTTGCCAATATCCGGACTTCCCAACCCAGTGACAGCGTCCCATCCAGCCACTGAGGGCCAACTCGCGTTCGGTACGAGCTTGGCTCCGAACTCAGGCGGGAACTTTTGCGTGCCAAAACCAGTTGTGCCAGTACAGCCCACGGACTGCCCAGCAGACACGTCGTTGATGGCTTGCAACCCAGCGCCATATAGCCATGGATTGATGAATCCCATTGGTGGCTTTCCCGCCTGGATGAGAGCGGCGTTGACCATGCCCACCATGCCTGCCCAGATTGGAGCGGCGGCGCTGGTACCTTGGAAGCCACCTAGTTGGCCGCCCGTCACGAATGTGAGGTTAAAGCTTTGGGCACTAACGTCTGGGAAGCCTCGGCCTGATGCGTTGAAGAGGCCGTTAAACTGGGTTCCAATGGTGTTCTTCAAGTACGCCGGCACAACTTGCTCTTGGTATGCCGGTCTGGCGAACTTGTCCGAGAACCCACCGCTCGAGAAGTCGCTGGCTCGCTCAGGCGCGATACCCCTCACCCCGCCAACTCCTGTGACAAAGGGGCATGATGCCGGGAAGACGGCATTGAACCGCGTGCTGTTGGTACCGTCGTTTGTGACACATGTGTTGCCCGGTCCAGAGTCTCCCGACGCGGCAAACATCGTAACGCCCCTGGCCCCGAGTGCACCGAACTGATCGCAAATCTGCTGAACATAGCCGTCCGGAAGTGACTGTTCGTTCTCGCCGAAACTAGTGGTAATCGTGTGAGGAAGCTTGTCGTCAGGTAGCTTAAGCATCGCGTCCAACCAGATCAGCCAAGGTTCCGTCGTGTCCCCAGGTTGTCCGCCTAGTTCGAGCTTGATCGGTCCATCCCCAGCCACGGCGGTGACGATATTTGGAACCGGATTGGATAGTGAAGCCGTGTATTGAACGTCGAAGTTGAGCTCAGCATTCGAGAACTTGTTCTGAGCCTGATCTGTCGTGCCGTTGTTGATGCTAAGGAAAGAAAACTTTACTCCCGTTGACGGTTGATCGACGTTTTTGGCAAACAGGGCAAAGTCGTCAAATTTGGCAACCTGATTCTGCGAAGCGTAGATCCCAAGACCACGGGCCGGACTGACGTTCATTTTGGCAGGAACATTGTACAGAGCTCGTATGCAGTTAGGTGTAATGGTCCTGTTACACGTAGGATCGACTTGTGCTTTCGATGCGGCTGGTGTAATCCTATCTACCTGTGCCGTGTAAAGAAGTTTCGGGTTCACCCCAGCCAACGACCTCTTCACCTTCCGAAGCTCGTCGCTGGGGGTGTCGTCAGCAAGAGGCGCAACCACGGTCGATCCTTGGTGCATAATCGGGTGAGAACAGAATCTCGTCGACGGGGTAATTAACGAGATCTTGTTCTTCAACTCCAAGGGTAAAGAATACTGCAACGTCCGCAGCACCTCCTTGCCGCTGTCAATGTTTCGAAACCATCTAAAGTCTGCGTCGAGCAGATTATTCGCCTTCTTCGCCGTCGTCTGCACTTTGATCCAATGACCATCGCTCTCTATATCTGCCGCTGTTGCGTTCCCGTGTTCCTGAAGCCAGTTTATAATGATGTCCCGTGACTCTGTATCGGGGTTGAGGAGTGCTTGTGCCTCCTCTCGAGAGAGGTGCCTGCCGTATAGCTCATGTCCCGGCGTGGAGACACTATAGAGGGCCCGTTCCACATGCCTGCTTCTATCGGCTGCGATGGATATGCTGAATCGGTGATCCGGATCAGCGGGACGAGAGAGTGTCCATCCGGATGGTGGATCTCTATTATACTCTACTTGTATTGAGCCAGCTCTCGAAGCGATGGCAAATGGCCCGATGAAGGAAAGAAAGGTTAACGCCGCAAGAAGGACAAGCATTTTGAAAATCGAGTTCGTGCCCCAGGCACTGGACTATTAGACAACAATTAACAGCAAGCAAGGAAAAGAACAGATCAAATATTTGGAGATAGCTTAAACGTTTCGCGGGGCATTTGGGGAGGAAGTAGTAACAAGACCTTGAGACCTCGTCTATGTTGCACCAGGACGGCCGTATGAACTACATAACCGCCAGATCCATTCGGCACTTGACTAGTGAGCAGTTCGAGTTAATTATCGAAACATAGCCTAAAGCTAAAGATGCGGGCGTCACCACGGTCGAAACTTGTCTGAGTATGGGTCCACCTGATGTCGCAGTATCTCTCTGTGGTCGAGGGTCACATCGTTAGTCAGTTTCAGATTTCCGAGGCGACGGTCTTTTCACCAGCATCCCGCCTCCGGTCACTTCAGGACTCCGGATTCATCGGGTCTCTGCCCCTCGTCTTACGACCCCATCGCAGAGTTGGCTGCTCTGTCGATTACAAGAATATAGGGCCCGAAATGGTTGTTCCAGCTCAACCGTAACGAGAGTATGCTCAAAGTGTATTGATGTTTGAGGGATCATGACTTGATGAAGGACTCTCCGGTTCTAGTAGGCTTTACTTAGCCTTCGTCGGGTATAGACCGTGTTTTCTTGGTACCTGCTGATTCGTAAGTCAAGGAGATCGGGGAACAGGGTCGAAGGCCTATATCCGATGAAAGACTCATTGCATGGAGATTCAGTCGCGGAGGAAGCTGTATCCTAATACACCTTTCCAAGGCTTGCGGTATTGAGACCGCACGAACTTCAAAAAGTCCACTAAGGCTTCATAAAGACCACATAATGGAAAACGAGTACGAAGTTGGTGGTTGTTGGACACTTCGTCGTTTGGACGACGAACTATTCCAAATGTAGCTAGAATCCGAAAGCGGATGAAAGTTAAATGTGTAGTGTTCCATCCAGGAAAATGTCTGTACCTACAACAAACTTTACGGTAAATTTGTAAAGCAAAAGTGTGATTCTTGTAAGTGCGATGGATCTTCGGACATAGCCGTGAACCCGAGACGATCGTCAGCCAGAGAAAGCTTGAACCATCCGAAGCCTGAGAGAAGGTGGCTCCTTGGTGAAGGGGCTTGATCACGGGAAGGGGGGTGCTTTGGATGGCCCGGGGGAGCACAGCCCGTTAGACGTTTCCAACGCGCGTCAATTATGCAATGAGCATACAAGGCCTACCTTACGTGACTCGAACCTCACATTCGTGGAGTTGGGTAGGGAACCTTCTTCCTTCGATCTGCAAATCCCATCTAGACTAGTCGGGATCTTCCAAGCCACAATTGTGCCCTTCTGGTATTACCTATTGAACAGCTACAACGTTGGTTAACAAACGGTCTTGAAAGTGATGCACTCCTGAGTAGTAAGTCAAACGGCCTACAGGAACTCAGGAACCTATTGCCTCTTGCTACAAGGAGGTGTCAAACAACACTCTCCTCTCGAAGATAGTCTGCATAGGCTGCGATCGTGATCACTTTCTATGATGAATGTTTCGAATTATGTTTGGGCCGGTGATGTCGCGGGCCAGAGCTTTCAAAACACAGGTACTCTATTATATCTAAGCAGGGATGCCTCTCTATAATTATCACATGGATGAGTGACTACCTTGCCCGTACATCCCAGTTGTTTTCGCAATTCTATCTTTTCAGTCGGTGGTAAAATGACCATTCGCGCATTTTCTGCCTCTTGCAACCCGATCCTCGTAAGATGCCTCAGGTATAGCCCTTGAATGGTATGGATTCTACCGTAGGACTACATTTATCTTTCTCTATCAACGAGACAAATAGATGTATTGAAGGCTGGAACAGTGGCTTAGTAGTAGCTAATGACTGGCAAGTCGGTCGGGTTACTTCCGTCTATTTCTCTCCCTATTATCAGCCTTGACTGAAGACAAACATTGCGAGCCTCATTCTTGTTTCGAAAGTGATTGTAAAGTTCTTCAACGTCATAGTCATTGAATTCAGCTGTAAGTGGAGTGCTATCGGCTCGTTGGGTATGTATATTGAAGTCGATATAGTTCTTTCTTCCCACTCAACTGACAACAACCCCTCAATGCAAGCAATACAAAAACAAGGCTTGAGCAGATGCGTCGATGTTATAATTCGTATTTCCCCTGTTCCGCCACGATTTTGTAATCTATTTCTAAGAAGCTTGGCAAGAAATGGGGAGGTCGAGGCCCAGGCCGGATTTTCTCCCAAATCTGTCCCCCCCTTCCCTCTTCGTCAACAATATCAATCCAGCCCTCATAATCGGTCTCGCGAATGACATCGCACCAAATCAAAAGGTCGACGTTATTTTCAGTCCAATGTGTTAAGAACCTGCGTTGCGGAGCTATTCGCAGTATGAGTCGTGAACCTTGCAGATGCCTTCCTTTCTAGGAGCTCCAGTGTTGCTGATGGATGCTGAATTACTATGGTTTAGGTACCAGATAACGACACAATTCTCTTACTGGGAGGGCCGTTCGCCTCTGTTGTCAGCATGTCAAGCTCCATATGGATTGGTCTGGGGTTTGGGTATATACACAATTTCATCCTAAAGAAAGGAAGCCCAACTAATGGCATGATGGGGGGTTTCCGTAGCAGACCCGTGATGATTTTCGGATTGTCGTCGGCTTTGCGAATCACGATAGTCAATGGGGGTCTTTTTGACATCAGTCGTGGGTGATTTTTTAGCTCAGACTCCCAAACCGAGGACGTCAGTCTTGCGATCGGATTCGGAAAGACGTGGCGCACTCTGGACAGCCAGTTTTTGTCCATTGCGGTCGATTGATTCGGTCGCCGTTGATTCGCATTGGGCCTCGCTCGAAGCCTTCGTGCTGCTGTAAGCTCGAGCCGCCTCACTATCCGAAGCTGAGTTACTGGGTTTGGGTATTTCCAGGAACTTTTTTCCATAGTCGTCGGCGTGTCTGAAACTCATGTCGTACTGCGAGCCGGCTGGGTGCCTGTCACGGCGCGCATCTTTCCGGTCGTTGATCAGAAGATCATTTAGGTCCGAGAGTAGGTCCTCAGCTGAGAGTTCTTCTGTGTTGTTGATGACTATTGCCGGTGGCTTGCTCATTGCTTCTGGAAGCTGGGTTGACTTGGAGCGGAGGGACGACTGCGTAACTTCGGTATCAACGGTTATCGAAGGAATGCCAGATGTCGATATAGAATCTAAGTACTTCCGATATAGGCCGTGTGTGAGGAGGGGACATCTGATACCTTTCCTCTTAACGACAATTTTTATACTCATCATTAATGGACATCCTGAAGGTGTCAACTCGCATTACGTCGGTTGCATCCCAGAGGTAAATCGCAAGGTTCAAAGACGGATGATTTGACGCCTGCGGGTGTTTGGGTGTTGGTAAGACGCAGTAGGTAATCCCATGCCACCCGAACAACAAGAACAAAGCAGGTGATCTGTTGCTTGACATGGTATAGAAGTTTGGGCAATCTGGCGATGGAGCCAATGGTATCGGAACTTCGCAAAAGGTGGAAAGTGGGTGTTGTTCATAACGGCCATTGAGTGATTCGCTATCGTGTCTTGGTGGAACATGTGTCTGACGCCAAGACGGCGCATAGAATTTAGTAGGACAAAGAGAAGCACTAGAAATGAGGTAAGTCGACAGATCAAAGCACGACCATGATGCAAACTCAAGAAATTACCGATTGTTCAACGGCCAGAATCATTTGGGCGGGCTCTGGCCATCGTGGCGGTGTTTTGGGCCTTTCATAACGATGCGGGTAGACATTCCGGTGAAAATTTACTCAATGTTTGCTTTTCTTGGCTGATTGAACATGCATATGTTCGTTGTCGCCAGTGTTTGGTAGACTTGTCGGGGCAACGAGGCGGTAAAAGAGCGATAGGGTACCTCGTTGAACAAAAGACCGTAGACTCTGGCTGGTTTACCGCGTCAAGGACTGCTAATCCTCACTCCTCTAGCCTCATGAGTTGATCACGCATGAACGCCGATTCTCGAGAGCATTCTCGTAGTCAAAAGCACTGTCAACAAGTGTTTCCGCCGACTCCCGAGATCACGGTACCTGGCTGAGCGGCATCCAGATGGCGGCGGCTTTCATGAGAGCAATCCCTCTCAGAAAAAGTGAGTGGGAACAGTAAACCTCGGTGCGGTCGACTCGGGCTTCCGGACCGAAACTCACCCACTGCCGGTATGCGCTCAAGGCTAGGTATCAGAATGACGGAGACCGAGAGTAAACAAACTCAATTGATAGACAAATATCTCACTGGCGTCGCAGAAGCTTCTCATCACGAGTCTTATCTCATGACGTTGAAGTTCAGCGCCGGAAGCACGGCGTCAAATTCGCCCAACCACCTGATCAGATCATCACCTCAGAGGATGGCCCCGCGACTCAGGGCATCGGCGGCGCTGCCGGAGGGCCTTTTTCTTCAAAAGTTCGATTGCAAGCGAGAGCGAGTTCTGGCCAAGCCGGATTAGGATGCGAAAAGAACAGCGGGGATTCGGGGGGGACGGGGAAAGCGAAAGGTATGCGGGCTAGCTAATCACGGCAGTGTCTTGGCTTTCTCCGACCCCGTTCAGCCAACCCAGGATCTGCATTCAGAGCATGGTTGGGGCAATAGGCAGCAAATTAGACTTTCCTCCCAAAGGACTGAACCTGACTAGGCTCGACTTATTCGCGGGTTCCGGCCGGCCAACACGTCGGGGTGTCGGGTTGGAATACGCGGATAGCTCGCTGTCTCTCCCTCAGCCCCCACGTGATGGCATGGCACTTTTCTCTTTGCAGGTTCTTCATGGAGATGGGTGTTCCTGGGAAAAAAGGGAAAAGGGGACCAAAGTTCTGCATCTGACATAAACAGTCGTCGCAAATTGACTCCCCGCGATCTGTGAGGCGTCTGCATTGTACAGTCGCGACAACTCGACAGCCCTCTCCGTGACTAGACGCAGATTGTCTGCTGAGAGCGCAATCTCACTCCCGACTCACTCATCGGCCTCCCGCTCACCTTTTTATGAGGGCCGTTCCGCGACATCCGACACCGTAGCAACCGCCAGGAAGAGGCCCCATCATCAACCCGTCCTCACAATCTCCGTAAATCGTCAACCATGGCCGAGCCCTCGTCCGTCGACAATGGCGGCGGCATCGTAGGCCGCGTCCGGGGCGCGTCCATCTCCATCATGAACGCGAACCCGCAATTGGGCATGTGGCAGGCCGCCGGCACAGCAATCGCCCAGGCGCCGAACCTCACCGAGCTCCGCGACCCCGAATCCGGCGGCGACAACATCGCCTTCACGGCGCAGGGCCACTCGGCGCGCTACGCCGTCCAGGAACCCCACGGCGACCTGGCGCTCATCCGATCCAACACGGGTCGGCGCGGATCGATGTTTTCTATTAATGGGCAGTCGTCTGCCGGTGGGCGAAACGTGTTTAACGACAAGTCAGAAAATATCAGGGAAACGGACGAACCCGCTGTGCTGAATGAGACTTCGGACGAAGCACGGCCGGGGACGGGGACGCATGATGAGAGCCTGCTGCCCAGCGAGGGTCAACAGTTCCAGCGGCGACAGAGTCTGTATCAGAAGCACGCGGCGGAGGAGAAGGCGCCGTGGAAGACGACCATTGTCAATGGGTTGAAGGCGTTTTGGAAGTTCTTCCTCACGCCGTCAGGGTTCGTCATTACCATCTACTGCTTGAATATTGTCGTACGTATCCCACCTCAACTGCACACTCCAGTCTTTTCCAAAAATGAGACATGCTAACATGAGTCGACTCTTAGGCCTGGGGAGTAAGTTCACATCATGATGTATGAAAATGAAGCCGCCATACTGACCCACCATCCTAGGCCATGCTCTTCTTCCTCCTCCTCAAGGCGGCACCAGCAATGAACTACCCAACCGCCGACGACGACAACTCACCCCGCAAAAAGTGGCTCGAAATTTCCAGTCAGATCCTCAACGCCCTCTTCTGCGTAACGGGCTTCGGTCTCGCGCCCTGGCGCTTCCGCGACCTGTACTGGTACATCCGCGCCGTCAACTTCAAGAACCAGGCGGCGATGCTCAAGCTCGCGGCGCAGAACAAGAGCTGGTTCCGGCCGCCTGCGTGGGCTCTGCAGGGCGAGAAGGCGCCCGAGACGTTTACTGGCCAGGTCGCGCCGCCGACGGCGCTGTGGAAGTTGGGGTTCACGATTTGGATGATGGTTTGGAATACGTTTTTGCAGGCTGTGTTGTGCTATTTCATGTGGGGATACAACCGACTTGATCGACCTGTGAGTACTCCTTTTGACCCTACTTATAGGCAAACCATGGTGTCGGACCCGACTTTGTGAATGGTGCTAACAAACAACTCCAGTCATGGGCAACTGGCACCTTCATCGGCTTGGGATGCGGTGTCGCTATGCTTGCCGGTCTCATGTCCTGGTGGGAAGGCCGGAAGGTGAAGCAGATTGAAGGACCAGAGGTCAAGGTCGTTGAAGGAGAGCCCGGAGAGGTGTAATACATAATTTCTAATTTGGTGTTGCCTGGCATTGGTACATGTATGAATAGAGTTGGCCTGAGAGGTAGACTTGACCTTGATTTAAAGCGATGTGAGTTGCATGAGACAGCTCACGACTAAGATGGATAATGATATGCAAATACAACATCCATACCCGAAGTCGCAAGGCTTCTTTCTGTCTTTCAATCAATTCAAGCCAGAGAGCTCTCAATACATAGCTTCACAGTTTGGTGCATCGAAAGTCAGCCTGTCGAGCTGAGTTGATGCCCCGGCCGAAGGTGACCTCCAGAAAACCTAGTGTGAGAGCGCAATGAGCCTCATATGAGCTGCCAACAAGCTGATGAGGTAACTGCGGCAACCCAACGAATTCACTTAAGACCTAGAAGCCATACAGAGTCTTTGTCTATTGGAACCGCCGTTATCTCATGTCACTCAGAACTGATTAAAATTAATCAAATTCGACCCAGATCCTCAATCCAGTGAGCTTCCGCATATGAAGGCAATCTTACCTACACTAATACAGGTCGATCTCACTTCTCTCCCACGCCCATCCACACAAAGTTATGATTGACTTATCTAGACTTCCGATAATCGAAATAAGGTTAAGACATAACCGCTCACTCAGGACTGATCGCATAAGAGTTTACGGGTATGAGTATTGCGGCATGAACCAGACGTAATTCCGACAAAACGGGCATGGATATCTAGAGTACTTCCGTTTCCACACAATAAGTAGCCAGACGAAAGTAACTCCAGATATAGCTGGCCTGTGCTTTTGCCACCCCACAAGCGTCACACGGGATTGAATTAGTCGTCTCGCGATGCCTCGGATCTTCTTCTCGCTATCTCATTACTACTCGTCTTCATCTTCACCGTCGCTCCTTCGTACCCTTACTCTACAAACCAAGCCTCAAGCCGACAAGATGTCTATATCCCAGGCATCACTCTCGGTCGCAATCTTGGCCTCCACCCTGGGAACCTACATAGGCCTCCTAAACCCCAACCCCGAACCACCCCAAAAACCAAACGACGACCTTCACCACCACAACAGCCAACATCACCATCACCAACCGCAAACCAAACACGCAGACTCGATCCGCTGGATGCACCTCACCCACAGACACACACCCAAAGTAATCCTCCTCCCCCTCGCCCTCCTCTCCCTCCACCTCGCAGCCCTCACCCTCTACGCACCCAACATCCCGCCCTCCATCCTCCGCCACGGCGCCGAAAACGGCCTCAGCGCCTCCCTAACAACCTGGTCCGCCTCAACCCTCCTCCCGCTCGCCGCAATCTTCTTCGCCGGCGTCCCGCTCCGCCTCGGACCCTACCGCTCCCTCGGGAAAAACTTCACCTTCCAGCTCACGAAACCGGATCAGCTCAAGACGACGGGGATTTATCGGTACCTTCAGCACCCGAGCTACACGGGCGTCATTGTCCTCGTGCTGTCGAATGTCGCGCTGCTGGCTAGGCTCGACGGCGTGCTGAGCTGCTGGGTTGCGCCGGCGTGGCATCAGGGGCTGAGGAGCGTGCAGTGGGTTCTTGGTCCTGCTGCGTGCTGTGTGTTTTTGTTTGGGGTGTGGACGAGGGTGAGGGAGGAGGAGGGCATGTTGAGAGAGGAGTTTGGGGAGAAGTGGGAGAGGTGGCATGCTTCCACGGCGCGGTTTGTGCCGTATGTATTCTGATTTAGGGCGTTGTCTTATGATCGTTGGGGTTTGATATCCATGGTAGACTTTACTGTTCAGTGCAGACATTTGCTCAACGACTTCGACGATGTGATCTCTACTGTTGACTCTCTTGTCTCTGTGTGAACTTCGCTTTCAACTTCTCAGTCCTGCAAAGTACGCATTGAAAAGTTAGTCTCGACTTCGCCTCTCATAGCTCCTCGTCTGCCTACATCACGAACTTGAAACCCATAACTTCACCTCCCAATCCTTCTGCTCAAAGACAATCAACTTCTCAATCACCACTCACCTCTCTCAATAATCTCCGCTCCAGACCATCCCAGTCCCCAAGTTCCCCAAGTTCCACAACAGAATGGATCCAACCAACAACCAATCCACAACACCAAAATCCATGCATATTGCTCCACACCTAGGGCCACGCACCCTCCACCACAACCTGCATCCCTCCATGATGACCTCACCATCGCCAAATCTTCATCCAACCAACAAGGCAAGATGGCCGAGCGGTCTAAGGCGCTAGCTTCAGGTGCTAGTCAAGTAATTGGCGTGGGTTCGAATCCCACTCTTGTCAACTCATCACCGCTCTGATGCGTTATTCTTTTGTCTTTTGGGCTTTGGTGTGTGGGGAGGTTGCTTTTTGCAGTATTGGGCGGACTATGGGTATATGTGACGATAGGGAGTGACTTGCGGGGTTGACAGTCATTGAGCGAGTTCATGTGTGGAACAGTTGAGGTAGGTATGATGAAGCCAAAGTAGACATGAGCACATGTTGACAGACCTTCGTCAAGCGTCGTTCTCAAAGTCCTTGATGCAAGATAAATCAGATTGGATATCGGAGCCCCTTGAAAACCAAAGGACAGACTATCAACAACACGCTATCCATATCAACTCCCAACCGAGTTCATACATCGTGTTGTGTCATGCGTGACCACGAGTTCCGGCATCTCAAAGCTGCGAAACCCCATTCTGGCGATCAAGTTTCGCCTTCTCCCTCTTGGCATCCGCAATCTTGATACTCAACTTGACAGGCTTGCCGCCCGGCGTCTCAAAGATGGTATCAATTTCCTCCAGGTTCAGCTTGCTCGTCTCAGGGAAGACGTAGTAGCTGATGATAATCTGGATAAAGTTGTACACAATGTACACGGCCCAGATCTTGTACCCAACTTTGCCGACACCGATGCCGATACCATAGTTGTGCACCACGGCCGCGATGGCCTGGAACATGGCAAACAGGCCCATGCCCTTGGCACGCAGCGGCAGCGAGAGCAGCTCGACCGGGTAGAGGTTGTGCATGGTCGCGATGAAGGTGGCGCTGCAGACCTGGAAGAGGTAGATCCAGACGACCGTCAGGATGGCCGTCGTCTTCTGCTCGCTGAGGTTGTACTGCCAGCTCGTGATGGTGACGGCAATCTGGGCGCAAATCATGCTAATCAAACCGGCGAAAATGAGGGTGCGACGACGGAAGTAGTCGATGATATAGGAGCCGAAGAGAGTGAAGACGAAGTAGATAGCCGTCGAGCCGAGGCTGATGCCGAGTTGGTCGAGTTGCGTGGTGATGCCGATTGTGTCGAGCGCGGGGGCCAGGTAGTATCCGATGATGCCGCCTCTGTTGGTTGTTAGCATTGACAGCAATAAAGAGCGAGTGGGGCTCAGAGAAATAACGTACCCATTCCATTGTTGGAAAACAGCGTAGACAGCTAGGACAACGGTGCGGAACCACACGGCCTTGGTGAAGAAGACCCGGAAATCCCAGGTGGCGCGGAACCCAGCCTTTGTGGTCTCGATAGACTCCTCAATCTGCAGGATCATGAGGTCGACAATCTCGTGGTTGATGTCGTTATCGGTCGTCATGTATCTTGCCACGACGCGACGGGCTTCCTCCTTCTTGCCGCGCATGTAGAGGAAACGAGGCGACTCTGGGCACAAGAAGTAGATTGTGACACACACGAAGAGAGGGAAGATGGCCTGGATGAAGAAGGCCATCCGCCACTGCCAGTCGCTGTCCCAGTTCGTCAAACCCATCATGATACCAATCATCATCAGCGAGCCGACCTGGAAGCACGCGCCAAAGACACCAACGAGGCGACCACGAAGGTGTACAGGTGCAAGCTCGGCAACGTACTGCGGCGCGGTGCAAAGCGCTGTGCCGAATCCAAGGACGAGACGGCCGATGAAGAGACAGGCCAGGTTCGGGGCCATGGCCTGCATAATAGCAGCGATGATGACAAGAGCGTTGCCGAGGAAGTTGACACCGCGACGGCCGAGGACGTCGGCGCAGCTCAGAAAGGGAGCGCCCAAGAAGCCACCAATTTGCATCAGGGCGTTGATCGTGGAGATGATTACACCCGCGTTGCCGAACCCGTAGAAGTCATGCCATCGGTCGTTGGAGTTGATTCCGCTAATGACACCCCAGTCGATACCGAAACTATTCACAGAGTGATCAGCACCACCATCCCTTTGCCTCCGTCAAAGACAAGCAGGGTCCGTCGCTTTCTTACCCTGCTTGGTTGCAGCCCATCACGAGCATGTAGCCAAAGATGTAAAGGCCGGTCTTGGACTTCAATGTAAGGGCCTCGGCTGACTTGCGCATCATGTCAGCCTCTGAGATGCGGGTTGCCGCAACTTCTTCGACGGCAACACCAATCTTATTCGCTTGAGCGACATCGTCGTGAAAGATGACCGTGTGGTCAACATCTTCTCGAGGCGCCATGATTGGCTAGACGTTCTTGCTTTGGCGCAGAAGACCACTTCGTGAAGTCTCCTCAGGATGGGGTCGAGGCAAATGGAAACGCGGGTGAAGAAACGAGAAGCCCGAGTCTCTGGGACCGTAGGATCTCAGGTTGCAGCGGTGCCTCGGCGGATATATAGAGCTTCCCCAACCTCAGCTCTGGGAGCGGGAGGACACGACCAGAAGGGCTGCTTTCATCCTGCACTGCTACCCTTCTGGTGCAACACGGAATGGCCTTCCGATAGCTGGGTCTCGAACCCTGAAGAGGGATGCGATCCCCAGACTCTCAGACGTTCCAACTGGCCATGTGGTTCACATGAGATGCTCCTTGCAGCACGAACCAGTCCAAATTCACTGCCGATTCCTCTTCCTTCGCCTCTAGAGCAACCTCTGTATTTCCCCTAGATCCACTCAACAGCTCAGACAGCATCGGCTTTGTCTGATGATGATTGGCTGGAGCGGTTGTAGACATGCAGTTGGATCAGACCAGGCATCACATCCCTCCGGAATGAGCATATTCGGTCTGCTTTCACCCGTGATGATTGGCTCGAGGCAAACGGCCGGCCGGCTACCCCACACTCCCCGAGCCAATTTTCCTCAAATGATACGACGCCGAGGCTTCTACCCCGGTCGATCGTGGGTTGTCTGGGGTTAAAGTCATCTAGGGCCGCCCGGCTCTCATCGTCTTTGAGAGAGGGCTTTTGGACGGCCAAAACAGATTCTGATCACCAGCCCATCAGAGTTTTGTCTCTTCCCCAACCCCGTTTGTCTTGGAAGTTTGGTGTCCAGACTAGACCAGGCCGTCTCTCGAAGTAGTCCAATCCGGGCACCGGCATACCGGCACGTCGTTCCCAGGCAAAATGCCCCCCGTTCATGGTCCAGAAAGCTTCGGCTCCGGCTCCGGCGAGGGCCGATTTCCCAGTTCCTCGCGTCTCCACTACCAGTCCCCCGCCTCCGAGTGGTCTGAAGCCCTACCAATCGGCAACGGGCGGCTGGGTGCCATGATCTATGGGCGAACTGATACCGAGCTCTTGCAGTTGAACGAGGACTCGGTGTGGTACGGCGGGCCGCAGGACAGGACACCAAAGGACGCCCTCCGTCACTTGCCGAAACTCCGACAGCTCATCCGAGATGAAAAGCACGCCGAGGCCGAGTCTCTCGTGAGAGAGGCCTTCTTCGCGACGCCCGCCAGCATGCGACACTACGAACCGCTGGGCACTTGCACTATTGAATTCGGTCACGCCACTGAGGATGTCACGGACTACCGCCGATGTTTGTGTCTGGAAACCGCGCAGATGACTGTCGAATATCAATGTCGTGGTGTCTCTTACCGTCGAGACACCATTGCCAGCTTTCCAGATAATGTATTAGCGTTCAGAATCACGGCATCGGAGGCCACTCGATTCGTCATTCGACTAAACCGAGTCAGCGAGATTGAGTGGGAGACCAACGAGTTCCTCGACAGCATCGACGCAGTGGACGGGCAGGTTACACTGAGTGCAACGCCTGGCGGACGGAAGAGCAATCGATTGTCTATTGTTCTCAAGGTCTCTTGCGATGACGCTGCAGGATCCGTGGAGACTGTCGGTAACTGTCTCGTGGTGACCTCTTCGGCGTGTACGATTGCCATTGGCGCTCAGACAACCTACCGAGAGAACGAACCTGAAGAAGCCGCTAGGGATGATGTCCTCAAGGCGCTGAAAGCCCCTTGGGCCACACTGGTTGATCGTCATCAGGTGGACTATCGGAACCTCTTTGGTAGAACGACACTTCGCATGTGGCCTGATGCCGACCATCTCCCAACAGATCAGCGAATCAAACAGAACCGAGATCCCGGGCTGGTTGCTCTATATCAGAACTACGGTAGGTATTTGCTCATCTCAGCAAGCCGAGACTCTATGAAGGCGATGCCTGCGACGCTGCAAGGCATCTGGAACCCTTCTTTTGCTCCACCTTGGGGATGCAAGTATACCATCAACATCAATCTTCAGATGAATTACTGGCCGGCCGGGCCGTGTAACTTGACCGAGTGCTCCATTCCGATGCTCGACTTGCTAGAGCGGATGGCGGAGCGGGGGAGAAAAACGGCAAAGGCCATGTACGGCTGTGGAGGATGGTGTGCGCATCACAACACTGATATCTGGGCAGATACGGATCCTCAAGACCGATGGATGCCATCTACAATATGGCCTCTCGGCGGTGTCTGGGTCTGTATCGACGTGTTTGAGATTTTGCAGTATCAGTATGACGAGACCCTTCACAAGCGAGCCGCAGCTGTCCTAGAGGGCTGTATCGTTTTCCTTCTCGACTTTCTAGTGCCATCAGCTTGCGGTACATACTTGGTAACGAACCCATCGCTATCACCCGAGAACACCTTCATCTCTGATTCAGGCGACGCTGGTATTCTCTGCGAAGGTTCCGCCATCGACATGACTATTATTCGAATAGCTTTTGAGAGATATCTTTGGAGTGCTGATAAACTGCACCTTGATAGCCAGTTGCGAACCCAGGTGAAAGAGGCCCTCGGCAAGGTGCCTGAGTTGTCTGTCAATGCCGACGGCTTGATTCAAGAGTGGGGGGTAAAGGATTACAAAGAGCTTGAGCCGGGCCATCGACATGTCTCCCACTTATTTGGGCTGTATCCGGGAGAAAGCATCAGCCCTGGGAGATCTCCAGAGCTGGCGACTGCTGCAAAAAGAGTGCTAGAACGAAGAGCAGCGCATGGAGGCGGACACACGGGCTGGAGCAGGGCTTGGTTGCTCAATCTCCATGCTCGACTCTTGGATGCCGAAGGCTGCGGTCAGCATATGGATATGCTGCTTAAGAGCTCGACGTTGCCGAACATGCTCGACAATCATCCCCCGTTCCAGATTGACGGCAACTTTGGTGGGTGTGCCGGCATCCTCGAGTGCTTGGTTCAGTCCACTGTCTTGCAAGATACCACAGAGACACATGTAGTCGAGATTCGACTTCTCCCGTCATGTCCCATGAGCTGGCCCGATGGTGAGCTTTCACGGGTTCGGACTAAGGGTGGATGGCTTGTGACGTTGGAATGGCGGAACAGCAGTATCAAAGAGCCGGTATTGGTGGAATACCCTAGTGCTGAAAATGCTGAGGCTCAAATTGTTTTCCCCGATGGTTCTCGGACTATTGTGTGTGGCGGTGCGCCATTGTCCAAGCAATATGTAGAGCGCCAAGCATAGAAAGGCTAGAATTGTTGATGAGGATCCCAGCCACTTTCATCAATGGACGGACGGCAAAGCTTCGAAGCTTTCTAAGGTTGCTCATGATTCTGGGAGCAATCGTCTCATTCATCGTCATCTCAATCTCGAGTTGCCGAACATGCGAATCCATATGATAAATCCATTGCTGCGTGAATTTTCTTTCTCCAGAATACGGACGCTCGTCCCGAAATATTTGCGAAGTCCGGCCTTGAGGAGAATTCGGGTGCAGATGAAAAATTGGCAAGACAACAACACATGGACCCTTCATTTCCCACGTTTATTTGGCGACCGAAATTTCAGTGTCGCGGCGAACGGACGTTGTCTGCAGGGCGCAAATGGCCTGAGAGTCGGCACCATGACCGCCACTTCCGAGCGGTTGGCGTGAAACATTGGAGACTTTGAAGTTGGAAGCCTTTTACGGTCAAAGGGCCGCGGTATCGGCGCGAGATGGATCTTTGGATGAATGGGTCAGGGTCCGCCGAGAGGTTGCACTTGCGCCGGCCGTCCGGTCCGTTACGACGATATCGATTGGACGGTTGTATCGGAAGCGACATGAGGACGGAGGGGACAACTTGTATCTGCGACGGGTGTGACGATCGCCGGCCGGGCAGAAATTGGCGATGGAAAATGCGCGGAGCACTGGAACGGAGCTCCCTGCTCGTTGAGGAGGATCTCCCGCGTGCGTATCCGTTGGACTAGTGCAACTCTGAACTAGTGAGCCGGTAATTTTTGGTAGGTCAGCTGCATGAGAGGATGACCTAGGATTTTGGTGAGCAAATGAGCGACTTTCTAACTTTCTAGAGTTGACGGTGGCATGAGACGGATGGATTTCCAGTGTCATGCGGATGGGACACTGGACCTTGGCGCTTGGGCGTCTGAAACATGGCATCCGAACCTTTCTGCTGGCTCCCGCGAGTGATGTGACCTGTTTCTTTTTTCCTTTTGAGAGGCTAGGACAATCTGCATCGCAGCTTGCATCGGCGCCAACGCGGCTGCGCCTGTGCAAAGCAACCTCGGAGCAGCGTCCAACAGGTTGCTGTCCAATGTTGTGCAGAAACCAGCGCAAGCAACAGCAAGCACCGACCAGGCGGGTGGGCACCAAAGCCGCAGCAAAGGAACTCAAGGCAGTTGGTGGCAGTGGTGGGCCGGAAAGGATCAGTGCATTGCATGAACCGAAACTTGGGATGACCCTGATACAGTGATCAAGTCAGCCCGGGAGCGGCCCTGCTCGCTGCCGTCGACCCGTCGTCATCCGAGGATTGGGATTGTAATTGGGGGTCAAAGTCTCTTTGGTCTGGCCTGTTGGTTGGGTTTCCCGTTGCTGAGTCCGTCTGTAGTGTAGGCTGCGCTCAGTCACTGGCATAGTTTCGCGGCGCGTTTGCAGAGGGTCAGAAAACAATGACGCGGGAGGAGCTGTAGGGTGTCCGATTTGACGAAGGCGGACAATAAGTGAGACAGATGGTCTTTGGTGTGTTGATTTGCTCAGCTTCCACCTAGACATTAAGGTAAGATGGTCTTCGCATGGCGCATTGTACAAGGCGTCTCCGCCGTCATGTGGATGATCGCTGCCAACCATACTGCGATAGCTTCGCCGTGGACATATTTTGAGAGAGAGCCCAAGGTGGATAGACTGAGGAGTTGGGAGTGTCCTGGTAGGGAAGACTAGACGTTGATTGAAGAAATAATGCGGGTGGTTGAAGCTTGAAATGACTCCTCTGCTGCCAGCGGATGTTGCAGGAGTAAAATGACGAAGGAGGGGCAGCGACAGCACACACCAAGTGTCCACGGTACGTACTCCGTAGAAAGTGAGGTAGGTAGTGGACGGGTGCAGCGGTACGTACATCATTCTTAGAGATGCTCAGGGCAGGTGGTGTTTCCTCTTGAGGGCAGTTGCCAAAAAAAGGTACACAATCCACCATCAAGGTCCCCATCCAGCGCTGTGATTGGCAGGCCCAACCAGATGAGTCCCTTCCTGCGTCTTTTCCCGCGCCTACCTTAGTACTTGAAGAGAGTGCCTAAGGTAAGGATGCATTACATAATCGTTAACAGCCACTCACCTTTTGTTGCCCGTGGTAGCAGCCAGTCGTCCCTAAAAGGACTAGCGCACTGCCACGACAAGGGGTGACAGGGGGCAACCCGCAACAGCAACAACGACGACCACCACACACCACACGCACACCCGTCGCCCACACGCCCACTCCCACACTCCACGCCCACTCACGCCTGACCGACATCAACATTGCACCGACCTTTCCCTTTCCTGTCCACTCCCGTCCTGTCCCAGCCATGCCCAGCTGTGTGTCCAGTCAGTCCAGTCCCTGAAAGTCTTGTGTCGCCGATAGCGAGCGTGCAGATGCATCTCTCTTCCGCCGACATCTCGACACCGACGACGACGACACCGACGACTACGACTTCGACAAACAACGACCACGGCCACCGACAACCGACCACCACCGATCGACGACACAGGTAAGTCTTCGTCGCCCAGTATCAACGTCGACAACCACCCACGCGACATCCCGGACCCTTCTATTCTTCCATTTCGACATCCTCCTTTTCTGAGTCGGGCTGCTCGTCTTTCCCACGCTTTGATACGACACTCCCAACCACCCAAAACAACACTTGAAAGTCGGTACGTGCTATGTTTTCTACCACCCTCGATCGCGTCGAATCTGGCGAGCGATAGAAGGCTGACGACAACGACACAATAGCACGCATTTGACGACTTTTACAGTCATTCACATCGACGACTACACTTTTCATTTGTATCACTTTAACAACTTCTATTTGCGACCGTAGCGAGTGCCCCCACCTCGCACCTTTTGCGCCCACCACCAAACCCAACCACCCACAGTTACTCACCCGATAACCGCCGAGCATCACATGCGATCCGAATAAACATCGCAACGGCGTCACAATCACAACAGCTATGGCAGAGCCACCATCCTCACCGCCCAGCGAGGCGATGAGCCCCGAAGATCAGCTGCGCTGGTACAAGTCTCAGTATGCATCACTTGAGGAGGAACTGTCCGAGTTCAGGGAGTCCAGCAAGGAGCTAGAGCAGGAGCTCGAGAAGGATATCGAGCAGGCCGAAAAGAGGGAGCGCAAACTCCAGGAAAAGGCAGAGAGCCTCAAGTTCGAGGCCGAGGAGTGGAAGGTGAGATCATATCCCCTACCGCCCGTTACCGCATGTCGGCGCGCATACCACATACCGAGAGACGTCCAGTCCAAACTGACCTTTCCCTTCAGTCAAAATACAATCAAGCCAAGAAGGATGCGAATGCGGCTCAGAACACCCTGGAAAAGGAAATCACAACACTGCGCGACACCAACAGGACACTCCAGCTCAAGCTGCGCGATATCGAGGTCGCCAACGATGATTTCGAGAGACAGGCACGAAACACCAGCTCCTCCCTCGAGGACCTCGAATCCAAGTTTAACAGTGCGATCGAGCGCAACGTCATGATGGAGGAGGAGATCAAAATCGGCGAACAGGAGCGAGAAACGCTGCGCATCGAGGCGCAACGCCTGCGCGAGGAGCTCTCCGACCTCAAGATCGAGGCCGAGGTGCTCCAGGACAAGATCAAGAAGCAGGAGCAACGTCACCTGTCCGCCATATCCACCGACCTTTCTGTTCTTTCATCCCCCGTTTTCGACAAGACCCTCGACGCCTCCCCTGGCTCAACCGCGAGCTCGCCCATGGTATCGACGCCGCCCGATGCGGAAGCTCTCCCTGCTGCCAAACCCGCCCAGATCAGCGAGCCTCCATCCCCGCCAATGTCCGACGTCTCCGCCTCCGTACCCAAGAGGATTGTCTCCCGAACACCCCTCAAGACCCCGGCCAAGACTCCGGCATCGGCGACTCGCAAGTCGCGTCTGCCGTCCACCGAACACAGCATCACGCCCAAGCCTCGTTCATTCACGACATCCGTGAGCAGCACCCGGCCGTCGGGAGGTCGTCCCTCAACGGGGCCACCGACACGCACACCTGCTCCTCGCACCGCCCCTCGCTCCATCTCCACCCGCATGCCCCCCAAGCCTGCCAACAACTCTCTCGCCCACATCAGAACCCTTACAGCTCAGATGCAGCGTCTGGAAGCTCGCGTACACAATGCACGATCGAAGCTGCCTGCTCCCGTCACAACACCACCTCGAGCCTCACCCCGCTCCTCGGTTCTCGGAGTCCACAGCGTACCGTCGACGGTTACTATCCGCTCACGGAAACGTCCCAGTGGCTCCACCGCCTCATCAGTACGGGGCGACGACACTACGCCATCCAACCCCAACTTCTCTGCCAGCACACGATCCAAGCATGTACCCCGACTTAGCACGTCAGGTGTCAGCCGGTTGTCTTTTGGCCCGCTGCCGAACCGGAACCCAGGGGCTGGTCTCGAACACAGCGACTCTACAATGTCTCGGCCGAGCTCACGGGCTAGCATCTCGTCGTACGCCAGGCCATCAAGTCGCACAGAAATGGCACCGCCCCGTCCCATCAGCCGCACCAGTATGTCTGGAACCCGGACACCCCTGGGTCGTCCTCGCAGCTCCTTGGGTGGCAGCCTGCACGCGCGCTCTGCTAGTATCAGCAGCCGCATCGACATTGACGAGGGCGACGAAAATGGCGAATTCAGAACACCTAGCAGGAGAGGCACGTATTCCCGCCTAGAGGCAGAAAACTCTGTGAGCGGTATCCCCGCACCTACTAGCGGTATCCCGATGCCGAGCGGGAGACGGCAAAGCGGAGGAAGTGTCTCGGGGAGGCGAAGCTCGATGGGCCTGAGGAGTTCCATCATGGGCGCCCAGGATCAACTCGTCGAAGAGGAGACGTACTAGGCAGGATTGAATCAAACCATCACAAGAGGAGGATTACTTGATACCAACAAAGCATCACCGCTGCTTCTGACTACTTGACCCGGTGCACATGCAGCCGGGCCATGGGCAGCTGCGCAATTACAGCGAGCAACATACATACCCTCATTTTCAAAAGAGAAGAGAGACGAGAGAGTCTCATTCTTTCCTTCATACCTATTTCCTTTGTTCATTGCTTCTTCATGACTACGGGGTTTCCAGGGCAGGCGTGTGGATACAAACTGCTGCATCCGAGGCGTTGGTATGATTCTAGGGTTTCAAACGGGGGATACAGCATGGCGGTGCCTTCTTTTGGGTTTCTTCTCTCTTGTTTTTCGCAATCCGGGAAAATACCTTTTTGTTGACACGCGAGCAAACTGCTACTACTACAACTCACTTTTACAACTACCAACCACACACCCCGAACACCCCCCAAGATCCGTCGAACCATACCTTGGTCTGAATATACTGGTTTATTACTTCATGATTTGCTGCTTGAGTTCCAGTGAGGCATGTTTGTGAATAATGTATCGGTCAAGCCTGTGACGATTAGAAAGGGATGAAGCATCGGGCTAAGTACGGTGCAGGACGTGATGGTTGGGAGGTATTCATTGATAGTAGGCACACGTCCATCCGAAGTTCTGCTCCAAACACTGCGCCCCATGTCGGCACTCGACGCGGACGGAGTACTCATGTGCCCAGCCAAGGCTGTGTAAACACTATATTGTTTGTCAATAAAGATCAGACGAAGGTCGCGTGATGTGTTTCCTGGGTTCAGTTTGTCGCCGATTCGGCGTTGCGTCGGTGGTAGGAGGAGGGTGGTGGGGTGGGGTGTGGTGGGGTGAGTGAGGCCGACCGATTGACCCCGCGCCGGGTTCCTGTCCGCCGTCCGGTTCGTGTTTGTGGAGGGGCCGAGTTTTGGGGAAGTCTGGGTCTGCGTGCCGAATGATGTATGCAAGACCTCTCTCTATTCGGACCTCGACAAAAGAACGAGATAGATACTATGAAAATCAATGGAGTGGAGTACTTCAGTCCGGCTTCGTTCAGTGTTGTTCTCCATTGTTGCTCCTCCTCCGACAATTGAGATGCGCGCGTGGTATGTGTAATCTGCACGTAAACCCAGTGTAACAAGAAACACCCATAACCAAAAACTTCAAAAAGACCATCAAACAAACAAAACAAAAGGACAAGTTCCCACACCGAGGTTCGAACTCGGGTCTCTCCGGTAGATTCTCAGAATGATAGACTGAAAGCGGAGTATCCTAACCACTGGACTATATGGGACTCTTCATGGGTTGGCGACCTCGATGAGGTCGTGGTGGATCGCGGCTGCTGGTGGTCCAAGTAAGGTAGGTGCTTTGGTGATGACGGCCACATTTCTTAGCTTGCCACTGCACATCATGACGCTGCTTCTTTTCGATTGAAGTGAATTGAGAAAGAGGCAATACGTGTATGGATAAGAGAGGAGTTCAATTTTAGGTGCAGAATTTGACCTGACAGGTCTTTAGGAGTTTCGTTTTGGTTAATCGTCTCCACATGAATTAGTCTCACGACATACCATCTTATCACGAATTCAAATCGATGGTATGAACACGAGAAAAATAGCCACACCAGCACACACTTGCTAAATTGCCCATTTCTCACGTGAATTCAATCCAAGAACCTCTAGAGAACTTTCTCCAAGTTTCAGAATCTCATTATCTCGCTTTTGGGTATACCTCTTTGCTGAACCACGCATCCTCAGACCGTTTATCCATCCTCACCACATATTACCAGGCCACCCACGGGGAGAACAATAACTCAAACCCACATAAAGGATCTTATCATTCCATTCCAAGCATGATGATGCTAATCTACCTATACCATTCTATCGTGGCCGCTGTCGTGGTGCGACTTGATCATCGAGCTCGACTCATAACGCATCCGTCAACACGACTATCCTACTAAACAGCCAGACACGGAAGAAGCCGCGCTGTCAGCCTTGTCCACCAGTAAAGCTCACCAGACTTGAGCAAATACCTCCACAACAGAAGGAAAGAGAATCCGCAGAATAGACATGTTCTTCTTGCCATGACCCTGCCTATATGAGGTCCTTCATTGGGGTGCTGGTCTCATCACCTTTGTAGGTGTTGTCTCATGCACACATGTCAAGGGACTACCTGCATTGTACTGGCTTGAGTAAAGACCATGGAGACTTGGCCAATCCGCCCATGTACCTCCTGTAGGCGTGTAACTCGCTATACCCTGGACATGACATGCGCAGATCTGCCGAAGCAAACATATCCACGACTACGTGCAAGCACCTTCAGATCTGATATACGGCACATAAGCCCGATATTCCACGGGAGTCACATCATGAGACATCAAGAGCAGCTGATGATGATGCCTGTCCAGGCACCTAGAAGCCAGAACCAAGGCCGCGGCTTCGGTGCTGGTTGTTTTGTTTCGTGTTAGGTTTCTGTCGAGGCAGAGCAGAGTCCTGACACGCGCATGCACAATCACATTCGGCAGGTCACTTTTCAGACTTCGATACATCCCGAGGGCTGTAGGTACAGAAGCAGCCATCCCAGCTTTGGAACTTTGACATCCGCTGGCCATAGAAACGTAGCATGCGGGGTGCGCAGGGAGTACCAGTTCATGGGCATCAAACAAAACATTCGTCCTAGTATCGGCTTTGAACAGCACTTGGCCCCATCTTACCCAACTGTCACAAGCGACATGCCAAGTGGCCAAACCTATCTGTAGGTCGCTTGGCTAAACTTGCTGTGCAGATGCGGTCTCAGAGCAACGGTTGACTACCTACAGTGACGCACGTACCTGCAAACCCAGTTCGGACGGGCGAGCTAAGACCGGCGTTCAGAGCCGCTCGAGACACGATGCGGTCGGCAGTCGAGCTGCAGGCACAGTCCCATGCGGCTCTGGTGAGTAAAGCTGTGGGGTACCTACGATCTTGACGACGAAGGTTGATTGAGGAAGCGTGGACGTATTTGTAGGCAACGGTTTGTCATGTCAAGATGCGGCTGGAGAGATCTGTCAATGACCTTGGATCAGAGATCTGTAGATTACCTTTGATCAACGTCCCGTTCATGGTGCTGCTAGATTCAGTGTCAGCAAACGCCATCTCACCGGCGCTGGCTCCCGCCCATCGGCGTCACAGGTCGGAGCTGAAGGGGGAAGCCTGGCTATTATTAGGGGCACGAGCAGTCCGTCCGCTCCGGCTAGGAGAGATGGACGTCAATGGTGGGGCCCGTCTCTTTTGGGGAGTGCCGTCTCTCTGAGATCAAGAAAAGGACGAAGGATGATGGGCGGAACTGGGCGCGTCAGATTACGCGCAGTACGTCCCCAGCTTTGACAGGATCGGATCTGCTCGCCCCGTCTTTAGCGCGGCCAAGTAGATATTTGTAGGGAGCTAGTGTAGCATCCGCTCTGCTCTCCGAACGAGGCGCCGAGGACGGGACGGCCTGAGGGGCCAATGCTCGGTGATATCCTCGCTCTGTGGCGTATACGGTATTGGTGTACAGATACGTTTCGTATCCTCTGGTCTGGGGTTATGATGGGGATCGGTACTCTATTACGGTGGGAATGGGCCAACGGAAGTCCGCGCCATAATCATGTACTGACAAGCCGGAATGTTGCGGTGCCGTGGATGGGATGGGCCGGGGAACTTGAATAGGTGACGGGAGACCTCGGCCGCACAGTAGTGGTGGAAGAAAGGGAAGCTTCGGGTTCGCAGTGGCGGCAGCGGCAGTGGCCATGAGACGGACGCGTTCAGGGTGCAGAGAAGCACTGCGTGGTAAAGTTGAGATCAGCTAGTTGGGAACTAAGCAGGCCTAGGTATCCATACCATGGGTTTGGTCCTGAGTTGAGGAAAGGCGTTCGTCCGCGAGGTGGTATCTGTACGCAGTAATGAGTCTCGCTGTCAGGATCTCACTATCATTAGCCTCAGTCAGCATGCTGGCTGCATTTTGGCTTTCCCATCCCCCAGAACATTTGTGGCTGCAGCTGACGACTGAGGCTGCGAGCCCCCTGCTCTAGGCGCGGTTCAAGCCTGAATTGATGTCGTTGGCGCCGGCGGGTTGGCTGCAAGCCGGGTGGAGACAGGGATGAAGCACGGGCTCCGCAGATGGACGGACAAGATGTTGGGGATCTGCGGGTGGAGATTTTCTCTTTTGGTCTGGCGCTGGTTGGCAATGTTTTTTCTCCCCCTTCTTCGGTGCTCTCTTGACCTTCTTTGGGTGGGGGCTTGGTTGTTTTCGTGAGTTTACTATTGGTGCTTGGAGAACCCCTGGCATTTCTCGAAGGGGCCCATCGAAGGCGACCCCCAAATTGTGTCCCAAAATCCCAATTGTTGGGGGGACCGACATTTACCATCCACGTCGACGTGGCCCGGCAAAGCTCATCGGCGACGGCATTGACGTTGGTGGTGGGAGGGAAGACTAGGGCCTAGCAATCCCAGCTGCTATCGGCCTGACGAGGACTCCTTATCGGGTTGGACCGGTGGCCCCTTGGCCTGGCGCTTGGCTTGGTTGGAATTTGCATGTTGAATGGTTAAGCCCTGCCCCAAGACGTTGGACTCTGGGGGGATGCAGGATGCGAAACTGAAAAGAACGAGACTTTGGCGTGGTTCGCGCGGTCTGTCCCATCCGAGACACCAAAGGTTTAGACACAAGCGTGTGGCCACTGAGTGAGGTACCAGTCCAAGCCAGCAGCAGATGAGACCGAGAGTTGGGACGTTTGTATTTGCCCTGTATGCCCTGAACTTGGTGGTTCAGCATTCTCCGTCATCCATGGCTAGTGTAATAGTGCTCGACAGGGACCTGATCTGAAGCCTGCGCTGTAGGTTCTGCAGAAGGCCAGGGAGGTACTAGGTCGGTGAACTTGGGTACCTGGCCCGTTCTGCGTACTGCGTACTGCGTAGCCTGTAGGTACGAATACTGCGTAGGACCAGCGGAAGCTGATGGACGTCCCCGGACGGAGAACCGGCGAGGCTAGGCGGTTTAGAGGTGCGTAAGCGAGTCGACAGGTACGGCGTTAGGTTGTTGAGGCTTGCACCCCTGGACGACGTGGGCGACGCCTGACTGACCGCCTGCGAGATCGGGTATGGGCTGGAGGGGTGGTCGATGGGGACACCCTTATGGAGCTTTTCTGATGAAACTTGAAGGGGCGGCCTGTCCATTTGTTCCATACTCCCAGATTCTCAGTGCCGGGCGACAAGAAGTCGGGGCCGATGAAAGTTGGGATGCCAAATGGGACGGATGCAAGAGATGCGCGCATTGATTGTGCCGGGCTCCTGAACTTGTGGGGGGGCAGACTTTGCAAGTATGTGTTTGTTTGCTGGGTCCGGGGTTGCCAACGGCGCTCTCGAGCTGTGGGTGTCGGGTCTGGGTGTAATTATACGGCGTTGATGAGGTTGACGATCGGTGTCTAACGGCCGGCGGTGCGATGCGGCGGTGTCAGAGTGCAGTGACAGGGTGCCATTGGATCGTGGCAGCCAGGTAACGCAACAGCTTTCGGACATTGTTTGGAGATGCCGTCGGGGTTCGGTGGTGGCAACGATGGCTGACCCGATCCGATCCTCCATCAAGTTCAGCAGCCCGCGGAGAGTACATCGGATTTTGGTAAGAGAAGAACAGGAGCCGAATTTGAATGCGGTTGTGGCATTTCGTAGCGATGGTAGTGGTGTGTATGGGTGTCGCTGTCACGACCAACGATCTATCGCGGATATTAGGTGTGGTGTTGAAGAATGACAAAGTCTA